TATATATATATATATATATATATATATATTAGTCTGACTTTTATTCTTCAAATTATTCTCACGAGCGTAGCAAACACCTGAGGTTTTCCCACAGACGCTCACATCCTCCTACTAATTTGTTGAGCAAGAAAAAAAAACTGAAGTAGTTTAACTTCTGATATTAGTAGGGCCTACCTACTCTCAGCTCCCCAACTTTCCCATTGCATCATAGCACAAAGCGGTTCAAAATCATTGCGTATAACATATAGGCGAACACAGTATTAGGCCTATCAGGATGCATTCGCACAGTTATCAGAAAGAAAACAGGCAAAGTTATATTTGTAGTCCGCGCATTTCGTAGAAAAGAATACTGTGCTGTTTACCTGTAGGCCTAGTGATACTACTGGAGAGATTTAGTGAAGTATGCATCCGGGGATTATGTAGGTATTTAATACTCCTAACAATAGGACTATTTATATAAGACTGTTAGGAATCGAAATAGTTTCCGTATCAAGTAAAAACACACAACACGTAAATGGGGTAAACGGTCGGTATCATCAACCATACATCCGTGTAATGATGTAGGCCGATACATTTTAAAATATAAACGTATAATATTGATAAATTAATAATGTGATAGCCCTGGTGTTCAGCAAAATTATATTATGTTGAGTGCAGATGTGGATACATGCAATGTCGTTACTATAACATTTAACTTTGCCTTCCAGCTGTTGAAGTTTTAAGAGGCAGGCTGTGATGGAAGTGAGACCTCAGCATAAAAAGCACCAACAATATTTTAATAGATTAAAATGCATGAATGAGGATAGATGGCCGAAACTATTGTTTAAAGCCATCTTACAAGTACAAGATACTATGAAATGGAAATGGCCATATACCATCAAAAGTATATTACAAAAATGTAATCTATTGGATGTTTATAGTACAGAACCTGAGAATCGTAACTGGTTAAGGCTATTTAAAATTAAGAACAAAAACAATGACGCTAAAGAATGGTATGAAAGGGCAAAATCAAAGTCATCCATTAAAGAATATATAAAATACAAAGGAGTACCGGACTTCGAACATTATTTACTTGATCAAACTAATTTTACTGGTGTAAATCTAAAATTTAAGGCAGGTCTAATTCATTGGAACTCGAAGGTAGAAAACAATCATGTTCACATGAAAATACTGGCATATGCAAAATATGCAATGACGATAAAATAGAAACAGTCGACCACATTATATTCGAATGTAATGGACTTCAATCAGAGATAAACTATTTGAAGAATTAAAAAATGAATTGATTTACTGGGATCTCCAACATATTTGGGATGACTTTGAAAAAGGCTCTATGGAATATAAACATCATTTGTTTTTAGACAGTTTAACAGAGATTAATATTGATTAATTAGACAAAATTTTTGATCATTACTGTAAAAAATACCTCATTGCCGCTTGGACACTTAGAAAAAATATGTATACAATACAATGAAGTAACTATGTACCCCCCTATAATGGAACAAACAACATGTTTCCTCTGAAACACATGTATGTTCCTCCTTTATTTACCTTAATTTTATTTATTATATATATATATATTTTTTTTTTTTCTCAACTAATTATTAATTTGTAATGTTAACAAAATTAAAACCAATAAAACTGATGGTAAATGCCGAAATGGTATCCCAAAATCCCCTTTGATTTCATATTTCATGGTTACTCCTTGTACAATACATCTCACTTTGTGTTTGTTTGTAATTAATCTTTTAAATTAATATTATGATATTACTATTTTTATTATTATATTATTATTATTATTTTTATTATTATATTCATTTTCCTTATTATTGATTTCATTATTTTTGTTGTTGCTATTGATTTTTATTATTATTTTTGTTGTTCTGTAATCTAGTTAGCTATGTATTTCTCTTCTCACCGATCGTTTTGTATTATTTTTTTTGTATTTTTCTCAACCTGTTGTAATTTGTATGTTCTATGGACGCACCACATTTTTGTGTGTGCCACTGTTTAAAAAGTGAGAGCCAAATAAAACTGAATAAAACCATATTCATATTATATTATAACATACCGGTACTATAGGCCTTTCTATGACTGAGTCTAAAAAGCGACGAAGTCTAACAGTGACAGCTTGGACAATGGGTTGTGAATCGATATTTTTGTTGTTCTGTAATCTAGTTAGCTATGTATTTCTCTTCTCACCGATCGTTTTGTATTATTTTTTTTTTTGGTATTTTTCTCAACCTGTTGTAATTTGTATGTTCTATGGACGCACCACATTTTTGTGTGTGCCACTGTTTAAAAAGTGAGAGCCAAATAAAACTGAATAAAACCATATTCATATTATATTATAACATACCGGTACTATAGGCCTTTCTATGACTGAGTCTAAAAAGCGACGAAGTCTAACAGTGACAGCTTGGACAATGGGTTGTGAATCGATGTGCCTTGGAGTATGTCGTCTCTTTTAAAAGTGAAAAATGATAATTGAGATAATTATCACTAAAATCATAGGCCTATACTTTATTAGGCCTATCGGGATGCGTTCGCACAGTATGTCATTTGGCATAGCAAAATTATATTTGTAGGCCGCCCATTTTGTGGAAAAAAATAAACTGCATTCATATACATAATGCGTCTGAACTTTCTCTATGGTATGAAAGTGCTCAAATATCGAATACATCATATTAAATTTGAAGCCTAAAAATGTATTGCAAAAAGAAAAAAAGTGTTAACGCTGCTATATAATTTCACTTCGCTAGACAGGGCGATTGGTGGCGCTATAACAGTTTATTTATTTAGTAGGCACGAACGAAGAGCAAAGCGCGGTCACTTTTACCAGTCTTTATTCATAGTTATATCGAAAGGTTTTATAGTTATTAATTTGCGTAATTTATGGCACAGTCTGATTCGTTATTATTTAATTTATTACAGGCTCTTACGATTGCGTTGTGCCTCTCTAAAAGCTGAATCACTTAGTACAAATATGTCCATGGCCTTCTTATACAATTGCCCTAGATATTCTCGTGATACGTATTCAAACTACATGAGAAACATATACATCAGTAATCATAAATCCATAAAATCATATGTATGTATTTTATCAAGATTTCTGTGTAATACACGCGTTGAATCTCCGTAGATAGCCCAATGTAAAGTTATTATTAATGCAATTCAAAACGAAAAAATATGTACATCCCCGAAATATCGTGCCGCCCACCAAACCCGACCAAAAGTGCTTGTATTAATGTGTGAACAATTCAAAGGATACCGATATTACATGTTTCAATAAATGCGCAATATTAAAGCCAGGTTTCCATACAATCGCTACATACTATCGCCGACTCCTTTGGCGACACTGATTGGTCAGTGAATCAGGGCGGCGCTCCCGATTGCGTCCGGGACAGCTACGCAGTGCAAGGATTGCAGTGAAAACGCTGTAGCGACTATGTAGCGATTTTATGGAAACAACACGTTCACTGTAAATAAGAAACAAAATTCATTTATTTGTTGATATATTTTTTTTATTGTTGTAAGTTAAACAATGTGTCTTATAACATTACTTCCAAATTTTTTTTCTTGGTTAGTGTGATTGTAGAACGCACTTCGATTTCCTTACAGCACATGTACGTACATCCACACATTATAAATCTTAAATCAGCGGAAGACAAGTGGAAGAATGTAGGGCTACTTTAGACCTTCCATAGGCATAATCCATTTTTTTAAACTGCAAAAACAGTCTATCAACATTACAATCAGAATATATCTTGGTAAAATTAAGCTACAAGTCATCTAGATTTCAATCGGAAACATTTAAATACCCGTGTCACTCTCTACAACAATCGGAACATTTCACAAATATAATAATTCAAACACCAAGAAGACAGGACGAACAGTGCTCACTTCAACACTTCAATACGGTACTACTGTAATAGAAGGCGACATGAAATGTTAGAGGGCGCTATGTAGCTACTATAAAAGATTAATTTTTTATGACAGAACTTCTGCTGTCAACTCACTGTGAAAAGCAGATACGAGAAAATAAATGTACTGTAGTTAATATACCTGTATCATGTAAATTGGGAAAGCTATTGACGGAAAGATTTTGTGAGAGGTAAAACATGGGTTATGTAACTTGTTACTGGAAAACATAATGTACTAAAAAAATAAATTTTTGATATAAAAACAACATTTAGGAAGTTGGAGGCAGTAAAATAGGCAACTCATAATAATATTAATAGAAATGAACAATGCTGAAAAGATGGAGATTATTTGGAGATTTGTCGAAATTGTTAAAATGAAGGTGGGATTGGATTAAGAGGGAAAACAGTTATTATTTTCTTTTTAGCACTAAAAGCTTATATACAGCACATCTTAACTTCAATATATTTGTTGGAGTCATAATAAAGAATCATTGAATACAAATTAATATATACTTACACAATTATATCACCAAGAAAATAGTATATAAATACAAAATAATTATTTGATATAAAGGTATTCTAAATACAACAATAATATTAAGTAATATAAGATTTATTTTTTTAATAAGATAAATAATAATTCCTAAGATAAAATATTAATATAATGATTATACCTAGAAAACCTAGTAAACACACTTCTAGAAGGGACAATTGAGGGCTGGAGAGCTTGAGGAAGAGAATTAAATGGAGTGATGACATCAAGAGATGGTGCTCAACAATCTCTTACATGCGGGCAAGGAAAGCAGCAGCAAATCGTATTAGATGGAGAGACATGGTGGCCAACCTTCGTATCGAAGAAGGCACATGATGATAAAATGATTATACTGTATAACATTAACAAACCCAATACACACAACCAAAAATCAAAAGCTGACGTATTGACTGATTATCGACATGAAACTTAATATGAAAAAAAAAACATAGTATAAGTAACACTTTTTACAATAATAGTGTCACATGAAGTTATGTGCTATTGTATTTTTTGTCTTCATTCACATGTACAGGTGCCAAGCGCCATTGATATGTAAATTACTTGCAGTTAAAAGGCTTAGTGATTCGGGTGGTCATTGAGTGCGGTAAAGCCTTGGCATTGGGTCAAAACGGTCTAAGACCGTCGTTTGATAAGCCAGGAACAAATAATAGTATATAACCTACGTGTAGATATCAGGATAGATATGGATTATGTTGACCTAATACTAAGCTGTAAACATTACAACAAATGTAAGTAGCTTTTGAAAACAGTTTGTCGGTAATATTTCTAATTAGCAGTTAGTGAAATGAATGTTATTATTGTAAATTGTTTGGTATTTTACTGTAGGTGGACTCGTGCCCGTGATTATAGCTCCGTTATATCGGTGGATAACCTGTTGGCATGCTGCCTTGTACGAATTAATAATCCGCTCGTTTAAAGCCTGGGTTGGAATCTGTTGTGTTGGAAATTTTATAGGGTACTCACTCCTGCTATCACGAAATACAGCCTGGAACATTTTACCAATTCAAGCTGATATGTATTGTGAACAGATTAGTTAATGAACATTACATTGTTTTGAACTCTGAATATATGTTAATATTCTATACGTTCAGTTTATGTTTACACATGTAAAATTAAGTATGGTTCATTATTACATAGACAATGTGATGAGGGGTTCGGCAAATAAATTTATGAATTGTAACATTTGAGTCTGTACTAATTTACCTGCGTGACAAGCGCCTCGAGGTTGGTCCAACGGGAGGCGCTATACAAATTGCAAATTATTATTATTATTATTAAATAGCTAGCCTACAAC